GGAGGATGTAGGTTTTATATAAAAAGTAGCTTCTTGGTGGTTTTTCCTTTTCTTTCAAGGGAAAGCAAGCCACGGCTTTTGGTTGAAGATTAAAGCCTTGAAAGAGGAAGTGGAAGAAGGAGCAGTTTGGGAGGGTGAAGGCAATTTGCCTTCTTAAATAGAAGAGGCTAATCGAGATCCTAATCCTAACTCGAAGGAAGAGGGGATTAAGGAAAAGGTGATGAGCTCGTGTAGTACTCGCCCCTATCTCTAGAGGGGCTTATGCACTCCACTCGCTGTTTACTAAATGAGCGTTAGAGCGAGCGAGCGAAGCCTTCAATTTAGTGAAAACACGGCCAGTTTACTGAGTCATCCCGTGAGCAACCATTCCGCGTTGGGGAACGGTTTTCTCATTCCTAAGGTAAATCAATCTCAATTATACTCTTTGATTTCCTATTAGTGTGCCATAATTCAATTCCAAGTTTCATTAATCATTTTATGTTTCAAATCATCATTCCAAGGGTTTTTAATCTCAAAACATGGATTAAAGATGCTAATCTGTCTATTTTAGGTCCCTAAATGAAGCTAATTTGGGTTCTCTTCACAAATCAGGGTCAACATAGGGTTTTTCAACAACACAGGGTCAACCCCCGTGTACACTGGTCGACCGGTGACAAAGAGGTTATTCTCCACTAGTCGACTAGTCCGGTCGACTGGTACCGCCAGGCAGCTCGACCAACAGGGCCGATTCGAAGGAAATCCGGTCAAAACCTGCAAATCCGAGTTCAAATATGAAATATTTCAAGGGGAAACAAGCAAATCCAGGTTCTAGTTACAAAATCAAGTCCATATAATTAATTTTCACCGTGATTTTACTCAAAATCCATCAAAATCCATCAAAATCCATTTAGAACCACAAATAGGTTTTCTAATCGAAAAATCTGAGATTCAAGAGAATTTTCTTTCTGAAATCTTACCTTAAATCCTTCTCTTGACGTTGAAAACTCCTTTAAATCCTTCTTTGGTTCAAAATATGGTTGATTTGATAAAGAAAACGAGAGAGAGAAAGAGAGAGTTCAAACGAGTGAGAGAGAGAGAGTGTGTGTGTGTGTGTGAGAAAAACGACAATGAAAGAGAGAGAGAGTGCACGGGAAATAAAAGGAAAGTAAGGAAAAGAAAAGAAAAAGAAAAAGAAAAAAGAAAGAAAAATAGGTGTCAAAATATTTAAAAAGACAGTCCAAAAAATATGTCTACACACACTTCTGGGATAAAATATAATTACTAAAAATATTTAAATTCGTTAGAAATGTTTAAATTTACACGTCAGAAATACTTAATAAATAATTAATAATTAATTAAACCAGATTAGGCACACTAATAAATCTTAATTATTCTCGAGGTGTTACAGCACTCAAGAGATTTTCTTTGGTTTTACTTTTTATTTTTCCGTTTCTCTCTTTTTCTTTTTTCTTTGGAAATCTCCCTTTTCTTTCTATGAGGAAAAACCAAAATAAAAACTAATTCCTCTACAATTAAATGTGCAGCCGTACATTTACTCTTCTTTTCCTCATGCTGATTTGCTGAGGAAACATGCAACAACACGTTTCCTCCCACTCTTTTTTTTTAGTGAGGAAATGTGTGCTTCTTAGCTGCACGTTTCCTTTCCTTATACTAAATTCATCCATATTAATTAATCAAATTAATTAATATATGTGTATTTAGAATTCTCAATTCTAAATTAATAACCATAACCCAATATGATATATTCAGTTCCCATTAATCTTATAGAGTCATTGAGAGGAACTATGAACATTATAATTTTAAGCTCCAATAATTTTGACAATTAATTAACACCTTAATTAATATATTAAAATTATTAATTTCAAATTACTCCACTATAAATTTAGAATTGCACTCTTAATATTATAAAATAATTATGTTCACAGAATTTGTGTTGTCCATTGATATAGTCACTACATATGAATTAATCCTCCATAAACGGTTCATAACTAAAACTAGGTATTTTTCGTTGACCTATTTAATTATATCTTTCTCTATAAGTACCATTGATCCTCTAATGAATAATATATTTTATGATCCAATCATAAAATTGAGCGCTCTTATTATTCAAGTCCTGACTTAACACTTATGGGAACCGTCTATCTACTTCATTATGAAGGAATGGATTTCATCTTGTAAATTAATAGTTCCGGCTATTTATTTTACTATGCTCCCAATATACTAGACTTTGACACTATTCACATGTGTCATTACTCAATATTTCAAAGAACATAATATCATAAATAAGAGTCTATTAATTACTCAGAATTAAGATTAATGCATATATGACCATCATTGATTAATATTGAATACTCTATTTAATAACAAAATTTATTAGAGATTCATAATTAATCGCATTCCGGTCCTATGTAATCATATTACATAAAATGCTTTCATTCTAATAATCTCGGTATTTACAATCTATGATAAGATTATTTTTTTCAGAATGTAATGAACCGCATTAGTAATTTTAAATTAAAGATCCCAACTTTAATTTATAATTACGGACAAGTTTAGATAATTTTACTTCAAACATTATCCTCTGCATATAACACTTATATACAATGTTTAAAGTTACATCTAAAATAATCTAGGGATTTTGATATTTATAAAACATCACATGCTTACAAAATAATATTGAAAAAAGTCCCTATGTCATTGATAATCCGCAAAATATTTACATCTTATTTGATTTATGGGCATATATCCCAACAATAATGTAGGAAAATGCAAAAGAGTTGCAGCAACAGAAACTGGTAGAGCACACTACACCCGAGCAAGATTGAAACTAAAAACAAGAAAACCAACAAATGCAAATAAATGTACCTCCGTTTGTTTGTTTATTGATTTAGTTCAGTTGAACTTAGTTTAAATGGTCAGTACAGTTTAAATTAGTGTTTAGCAAGTATGCAATTTGAATTATATTTCTCGTTTGAACTGAGTTAAATGGTCCAACTTAGCGTTTAACTCTCCCCTCAAGTTTAACTGTTCAAACCATTTTTAAACAATTTAAAGGTGCTCATTCTCTATGCTTTTCACACTTACCAAACACAAATTCGAATTTTATTCAATGTTCAAATTAAAACTTTCAAACGTCAATTTAAACTACAATATAAACCACACAGTTTGAGTTATTTTATTCAAATCAAAAAGTTCAAATCAACAAAATTCAAACTAGCGAATCAAACGGGATCTATTTTGTGAAAAAGTTACAACATTGCTCTTTTTCATTTACATATGAATTTATGTATCTAGTTAGTTTAATGGCATTGGAATAGCTTATTGGCTATATATGTGTGATATTTGTTTACCTTCCGGTATTAAGCTTTTGTGTACCTTGTCTTGGCCGTTTATCACTCAGTTTCTAATGTACTTCTCACATCTCGTTATTGTCCAGTTGTATCAAAATATTTGTTAGGAGGTTTTGTTGCGTTTGGAGGAGACGTTTGGTTCATGGATTAGAATCATAAGATTAGAATTATTTTCGATTTACATGTATTTTTTGTGAGAGAAAATACTGTAACAAACCATAAATCATAATTCGAATCGGAGTACGAATCTTCCAACCAAATAACCTGTTTTGATTTGCTCGTTCTCTCCCCCTCTCTCTCTTCCTTTTCAAAACATGAAAGAGATATTAATACAAACAATAAAAATAAAAATAGGAATAGAACACAAAATATAACATAGAGAGGTCGGGTTTGAGGAGGCTTCGTTTTTTTTTTTTTTTAAATGGGGATTGTAACTTTGATCCCACGTGTAATCTTTATTTCTCATTTAAAAAAGGGTAAATAACATGAGGCATAAGCTTTTTAAAAAATAATAATAATAATAAATTACGGCTTCCAACATCTATTCATTTTCAATTGATGGGTCCAATACAAGGCATAAACTCCAAATTCAGGTTATCTATATATATGATTTCCAATGTCTCAAAATGTAATAATATTGATGAGGAGGATGGGAATAAAAGAGCTGTTAGGAAAATCAGAGAGAGAATAGTGATTGGAAGGCTCTACAATCTACATGCGAAACATCCTATTTATACGTTCTCGAATATTTGCCGTGCATGGTACAAGTACAACATAATCTTCAAGATCTCGATACCTGTTTTCTCATGGTGTTCTCGTGCTTTTCTTGAATCGCTTTTTTCCTGAGACTGATTTTGGTCTTTTTGTGGTTTCTCTCTTTCTTTTTTAATTTTGTTTTCAAAAAGAGATATTATGGTCAAGACTTGGAATATTACGTTGTTAAAGGATATGGTTATAAAACGTTATATTTTAGCATTTTATAAATTTAGAAGAAAATGTATCTTGGAATACTTATCCTAGCGTCGTCGTAAACCATAAAATTCTGAAGCTAGGAGGACATGTTAAGTCGTTTAGAATTGATTTTAAAATGATTTTATTTTTAATAAAAAATAAAAATGAGATTATTTTGAGAATCATTTTGAAACTGATTCTGAAATTGTGTTTGGTTGATTTTTTAAGAGATTATTTTGAGTATAATAAAAAAACGAAATCGTCTTTATTAATTAATATATTATAATATTATTAATAAGTACTAAAAAAATAAAAACAAAAAAAATGCAAACAACTTTAAACCGTTTTCTAATATTTTTAAAAAATCATTCTCACTATTTTTGTTTTTAAAATATTTACTAAACTTCATTTTTATTTTTTACTTCCTAAAATACCCGAAAACCATTTTCAAAAGCAGTTGTTCGAGTACGAAACAGGCGCATCTTCTCTATAAACGACAAGCAAATTTCTACCAGGAGACGAGAAATAATTTGTTCAACTTTACCACAATCGTCAGACTTTTAAAACCGCCGTGTCGTTTATATAAAAGAGACAACAAACCTTATGCTAAAACGACATGTAGTTACATAATTCTTGTTTCCTAGCAAGCGCTTTTAAACCGCCGAGTCCGACCAAATTGGCAGCGTCTTCTTCATTCCGCCGGTGGGCACTTGTCAGAGCCATTCTAGAGAGAGAAACAGTGTTCAGCTGTCACCGTCCGAAGAGCAGAAACGACGTCGTTGCCGTCGGAGATGGCGGAGCGCGATGGCGGCGGAGAGAAGCAATTGCCCAACGACAACAACAACAACAGCGGGGAGGTTCTGAGCATCCCGAGGGGTGGACCCCTCTACGTCCCCAATTTGGTCAGTCCCCTCACCAGTGTTCATCACTTCCAGTCTTCTCTTCTCCAAGAGCTTCAGGTAAATTTGTTGAATTTCTCTCTTTTCTCTTTTCTTTTTCTTGAGTGTTCTCTGGGTTTTTAACTATTTGAGCAATGTGTATGTTTTTTTTTTTTTTTTTTTTTAAGGATTTAGAGGTCGAGATTTCTTCTTCGGACGCAACCCTAGGTTTTGATGACGAAGAAGGAGATATTTCGTATGGGATTTTCTCAATTCTCATTCATGTCTTCGATTTTTCTTTTGAATTTAAATTTTGGGATTGAAAAGGGAAAAAAGAAGACTTGATTGTTGGGTTTACTTTGTTTTTCCTTGTAAATTGTGCAGAGTGGATGAGCTTAAAATCTTTACTGAAGAAGAGTTAGTAGATATGGCCATGAAAGAGGCATTCGAGGTTTTTTTTTCCTTCTGTTTTTCCACTATTTGCGCCAACGAAACTCTAAATAAGCTTTTCGGTATTTGATTTTTTTTTTTTTTTCTTTTTTCTCATCTTAATGGGGAATCATTTTCAGGAAGGAGAAAATCAGGAAAAGCCTTCAACACTAGCAGACAGGCTCTCCAATGAAGAGTAAGTCACATAATTTCCATTTATATAAAATGTCTATAAAAAAGTTGTTCATGTTGGTAAGCATAGTTTTAAGGTAATTGTGGGGAAATCTTAATGTGTTTTGACTGCTGTATATGAAAATTCAAGCCCTGCATTACCTAACTCTGGCTCATGTGTTAGCTCTGGTCACTTATTTGTTGATTATGAAGCTTGAGCTTGTCGAATATTCATTATTTTTTTATTATGAAGCTTGAGCTTGTCGGATATTCATTAATGGTTAAAATGTTATGTGAACTTGGGAGCATTATTCTGAGTTATTTTCTAATAAATCTTTTTGGCTTTTATGCATAAACTCTAGGAAAAAAGATGATAGTAAAATATCAAACAATAAAGATGTGTGTTCAGAAAACGCCACGAGAGAAACAAATGGTTCACTTGAAGATGGAATAATGAAAACATGCAGCTCAAGGAAGAAACAAAAAAGGATGGCACATCGGCACGCTGGTGAGGTACGGCTCCCATCAAAATATATCATTGTTTTGCCTCTCTCTGGATGATTGTTGCATTTATCACACAAAATTGGGTTCTTCACCTGTAAATTTGAAACTCTACACCAGATTCTTGAAAAGTTTGGCACGTTGCCTTTTTTTCCCTTCTTTTTTCCCGTTTCCTTACTTGGTTTTAATTTTTAAATGAACACCAGAATACCACATTGATCACCCTAATCTTTTTAACTGCTTTTGAGAGTCACTGAACCATTGAAATTTACAGATTCTGAAGTTTGTCCCAATGATGTTAGTCTTTATTTAATGTTGTTATTATTTGTTCCTCATAGGCCTAGATGTGGAAAAGGATCATGTAACTAGGTTCTCCCTTATCCCAATTCCCCCAGGAAAAAAAAAAAAAGAAAAAAAGGTGGGAGACAAGGCTCATTATTATACTCATGACTAGTTTTGTGATTCAGTGCCATTGTATGATGTTGTGTTTACGCTTGATAATTTATCCATTCATCATTACATTTACTAATTTCATTATGGCCAGGAAACATACATTGCTAAGGTGGAGGAACTTGCAAAAATTAAAAAGAAGCAGGATGAAGATAAAGCAGCTGTAAGACTGCACTCATTCAAGTCCGTACTAATACTATGACTGCAGCAGAGCGTATTTCATTTATCTATATGCATCTATTCTTTTTACTGATAGTTTCTTTTATTTTTCTCTAGCCCCAGTGGCAGAATAGTTGAGTGTGCCACTCCATCCTCTGAGAAAATTGAAAGGATGAAGCCCCTCAGATATGCAACCACACGAGCTAAGGTTTGCCCAAATATTGCATATTGTAGGATTTTGCTTTTTATTTACCACTTGGAAAATGCATTTAGAATTGGAAAGGTCTATGATTTTTTTAATCTAAGAGCCACTTTCTGTTTTACTTTCTATTTAAATTTTGACGTTGCTCATATTCATAAACTTTACTTTAGCAACCCTCTCGTCATCCGTCACTCTTCCCCTCTACAATTCTCATACAAAATTGCTTTATCTCTGTGGCCAGCTATAAATGTTTCTTCATATAATTTTGTTTAATTCACCTCTTTGACAGTTCAAAAGGATGGAAATTTGTATATATTCACAATGATATCTTAATGCAAAGCAGGTGAAGTCATCAAACAGTAATGAATACGTTAGTGTTGTGCATCCAGAAGTTGCCCTTTACGTGGAGGTTTACCATAACATAAAAAGATGGGTGAAGGTATGCCATATTTTTCATCCATATCCTTGATGAAATAAATTAAAGTGATGTCCTCTATTGTCTATTTTATCTATTTGCTATGATTCAGGTCCCGTTCATTTCACCGATTCGAGTTTAGAATTTGAATTTTGTTATAGTAAAAAGCTCTCAGAAATAGTCACATCTAACTTTTTTGTTACAGTAAAAAGCTCTCACATAAAGTCACATCTCAACTCGAATCAGAGAACTAAACGGGCCCTCAATATCTGGTGATTAATATAATTTCTTAGCACCTTGATGTGATGAAAAATTTGGGCTATCATAACTGTAAGCAATGGAAGATAGAAAAATTCTTTTATTCCTTAGTTTCAGAGAAATTGTATAGGGATTATATAGACTTGGTGATGTTTAATCTAATCCCTAAAACAGAGAAACAAAATCTGTAAATAAGGAAACAATACAAAGTCAAATATCCTCTCCTAATATCCGGATTCTCTATCTCCTAATATCCGGTCATACAACCATACAACTATTCCACAGCTCATAGTTTCCTAATTTACCGACACTCTCCCTCAATTTGGTACATAGATATTGATCATGCCCAACTTGCTTACACATGAATCAAATGACTGTCTCTGTAACCCTTTGGTGAAGAAGTCTGCAATTTGTTGAGTGGTTGGTAAGAATGGTACACAAATGACTCCATCTTCAAGTTTCGCCTTTATGAAGTGTGTCAATTTCTACATGCTTCGTACGATCATGTTGAACTGGGTTATTAGCAATACTGATAGCCACCTTGTTATCGCAGAATAGTTTCATGGGTAGTTCTTAGGTTCATGGAGGTCTTCCAGCACCTTCCTCAGCCACAGTATCCACAAATTCCTTGAGCCATTGCCCTGTATTCTTCTTCTGCACTACTTCTGGCTACCACATTCTGTTTTTTACTTCTCCATGTTACTAAATTTCTCCATAGAAAAGTACAATATCCAGAAGTGGATATTCAGTTAGTCACAGAACCTGCCCAGTCTGCATCAATATAGACTTCAATCTTTCGTTGATCACTTTTCTGGAAAAATAATCTTTTTCCAGGAGTTACTTTTAAGTATCTCAGAATTCTGTAAACAGTTTCCAAGTGTTCTTCATAGGGAGCATGCATAAACTGGCTTACCATGCTAACGGCAAAAGAGATATCTGGTTGAGTGTGGGATAAATGATCAACTTTCCCACTAGACGTTGATATCGGCCTGTATCAACCGGAACTCCTTCCCTGATCTCTCCAAGTTTTGAGTTAGGCTCCATAGGAGTATTTGAAGGCTTGCATCCACTCATACCGGTTTTCCAAGAGATCTAGAATATACTTCTTTTGAGAAATTACTATGCCCTTTTTTGATCTAGCAATTTCCATTCCAAGAAAGTATCTAAGAGAACCTAGATCTTTAATCTCAAATTCGGTTGAGAGATTTTTCTTCAATTTGTCCATTTCCTCAGTGTCATCACCAGTGAGAACGATATCGTCCACATACACAATCAAGACAGCAATTCTACTTTCTACAGAAATCTTTATGAACAAAGGGTGATCTGACTGCCCCTGTAAGAACCCTTGAGACTTTACAAATCTGGCAAATTTGTTGAACCAGGCCCTCGGAGATTGTTTAAGTCCATATAAGGACTTTTTCAACCTGCAAATCTTCTTCCCGAGCTTTGTATAAGGACACCCTTGAGACGTTACATATAAGGACTTTATGAGTAATCAATGCCATAGGTTTGTGTAAACCCCTTGGCAACCAACCGGGCTTTGTATCTCTCAAGAGATCCATCAGAATTGTACTTCAGGGTGAACACCCATTTACACCCAACTGGTGTTTTCCCTTCCAGACGATCCACTTTCTCCCAAGTTTTATTCCTCTCAAGAGCTCTCATCTCTTCAAGGACTGCCTCCCTCCACTCAGGAACTTCGAGAGCATCCTGTATATTCTTTGGAATAGCAATACAAGACAATTTTGAGGTAAATGCCCAAAATGATGGAGACAGGCTCTCATAGGATAAAAAGTATACAACGGATGTTTAGTACACGTCCTAGTGCCTTTCCTAAGAGCAATGGGAAGATTCAAATTTTCATCTAACTTTGGAATAGAAATCGGTTCAGAAGACTCAGACTCAATAGGAATAGGACTAAACTTACTTGACTGATTTTCACCCCTTGGATTTGTTCCCAGGTTAGATTCTTGGCCATGCTCCAAGTCGTTGGTCTTTTTAGCTGTTCTGGATACTTCCTCGAATAGACTTTCCCTTTAAAGTGAAGTCCATCTTGCCTCGCACACATCTCGTTTCCTTCTGGAGTTTGATTTTGTAATGGCACAGAAGGTTGATTACCATTATTTGAGGTATCTTCATTTTCAATGTTTACCATGGTCTCAGATTCATTGTTTTTTTCCTTTTCATGGGATAAAAAATCTTCCAATAACCAATTAAAAGACGAAGAATCTTCACTTGATGTCTCCCTCTGAAGATGAGTTTTAAAAATAGATTTGTCTTCAAAGAAGGTGACATCCATGGAGATAAAAAAAAATTTTGGATATTGGATCAAAACATTTGTACACTTTTTGAGTCGAAGGATAACCAACAAAAACATATTTTCTTGCTCTAGGATCAAGTTTTCCGCGATTGATATCATGAATGTGTACAAATGCAGTACAACCAAAGACTTTAAAGGGAAGATCATGTGAGAGCCGAGAGGAAGCAAAATGTTCCTTAAAACAATTTAAAGGGGTTTCAAATTTTAAAATTTTCAAAGGCATTCTATTAATCAGATATGTAGATATGAGAACAGCTTCACCCTATAAATATTTAGGAACATTATTAAAAAGCATTAATGTTGACGAATCTCTCAAGATTCGTTGACTCATATTATTAGGGAAATCATTCCCTGATTTGTCTCTGATTGTTCCCTGATTTTTCTCTGATTCTCAAGGAAATCATTCCATGATTTGTCTAGTCAATGGTAGGATTCTTAGGGATAGTTTCCTGATTTATTGAGTCAATGCAAGCTATCAGTGATAGGATAGTTAGCTGTCAATTTCAGAAAATAATTCCTTGATTCTTTTGTAATTAAGACTTTCCTAGTATAAGTTGTATACTAAAATACTCTGTACACTATAAATAGCTGTAAGCTTTTCCTCAATGAATATAATAAAAAACATACAGTAAGAACGTGTTTGTTCATGGTATCAGAGCCTTACACGATTTTCTGTTGAAAAAAAAAACTGTTCACTGTCATTTCTTCTTTAGCCTTTAATCACCCAGAGAAATGTCAGAAATCTCTGAAACCGGTAACAGTACCACAAATGTCGACCTAAACCTTGATTCAACCCAAATTTCCCAGCCACAAACAGGTGAATACCAAAACCTACAACCCTCCTTTAAACTCAACAGCCGAAATTACCTAGTGTGGTCCCAACTAGTTAGAACCTTTCTTAAAGGAAAAGGCAAATTGAATCACTTGATAGGCCCTATACCGAAGGAGGATGATCCAAAGTTTGAGGCTTGGGATGTAGAAGACTCGTCAATCATGACATGGCTTTGGAACTCGATGCAGCCCGAGATTAGTGGCAACCTTATGTTCCTGCCCACATCAAAAGACATCTGGCATACTGTGAAGCATACCTATTCAAAGGTGCGTGATGCAGCCTTAGTCTATGAAATTAAGACAAAAATTCACTCAACCAAGCAAGATAATCTCTCAGTCACTGTTTATTATAGCAAGATGAAAAATTTGTGGATTGAACTCAATTATACCAAAACTTTAAGATGAAGTGCAGCGAAGATGCTGCAATGATGCTAAAATTTGTTGAAGGATAAAGGGTTTACGAGTTCTTGGCTGGCTTGAATGTTGAATATGACCAAGTTCGTGTGCAAATACTTGGAAAGGATTCTCTGCCAACCCTGAGTGAAGTCTTTTCTACTGTCCGAGGTGAAGGAGAGGCGTCATGCTTGAAACTCCACCAAGTGAGAGCTCGGCCTTAATTGTCTCAGTTCCTACTGCTGCCTTAATTGTCTCAGTTCCTACTGCTGCTGTCTCGGTTCCTAGTGTTGCTGTTGCTGCCCCTCAAAACTCACAACAGAACACCAACCGGATAGAGAACAGGTCATTCAACAAATTAACAAATAATAGAGATGGTTTGTTATGTAACTACTGCAAGAAAACGGGACACACTAAGGACATTTGTTGGAAGCTGCATGGAAAACCACTGAAAATAATTCCCAGATGAAATTTCAGCCTCGGAACTATCAAGCCAATGCTGTTCATGCAAAGGAAAAAGATACAACTACTACAACAGAATAATTGAGTGGATTCAATCGAGAAGAGATTGAAAAACTCCGCAGTTTTCTAACAGCAATGGATAAACCGGTGGGGTTGTGCTCCATGGCCCAATCAGGTAAGTATTCTATGACCCGTCCTCTAAGTGATTCAAAGAGCAACTATAATGGAATTTGGCTAGTAGACTATGGTGGTAAGTATTCTATGACCCGTCCTCTAAGTGATTCAAAGAGCAACTATAATGGAATTTGGCTAGTAGACTATGGTGCAACCGACCGTATGACAAACTCCTCAAACCATTTTTCATCCTACACCCCATGTCCTGGTAACCAAAAAATAAAAACAGCCACGTATCTCATTAATCGACTACCCAATAGAGTATTACAAAATAGGTCTTCTATTGACGTATTGTCATAATCATTTCCTCATATAAAACACTCACAACTTCCTTTACAAATTTTTGGTTGCATTGCCTATGTTCACATTCAGCAAAAAGACCAAAATAGTAAACTTGATCCAAGAGCCTTAAAGTCAATTTTCTTAGGATATTCTGTTGTGAAAAATCGTAACGCAAGTATACGCTATCGCAATCAAGTAATATAATAGTGAATAAGAATATCGTCCCACAAGTATTGTTGTTTACTAATTACTGAAATTATATTAACCCTAATTTTATTTGAATACTTGAAAAGAGAGTTTATAA